TATGCCTCACGGAGGTCTAGCTTTGTAAAGATTTTTCCGGCAGCCAAATGGGTAAGGAGGTCCTTCATCAGTGGCAGGGGATAAACCTGTTCTATACATATGGCATTAAGACCTCGGAAGTCTACACATAACCGTAACCCCCTATCCTTTTTCCCCTGGAACAATACGGGGGCCGCTATCCATGAGTGTGCCGGTTCTATGAATCCCCTGGCTACGTTCTTATCTATGTACTTCCTCATCTCCTGCAGCTCTGCGAAGGTCATCGGATACATCCTGGGCTTAGGTAATTTGGCACCAGGAACAAGTTCGATTGCACAATCTGTCAGCCTATGGGGCGGTAAACTATCGCACTCCTGTTCGCTGAAAACAGCGGCGAGATCATTATATACCTGCGGGTATTCAGGTTGACCCCCCTCCTGTAACGTTTTTGAAGCTTCCACCTTCCTGTCTTCACTATAAGTCTCAGAAGACAGCGGTTGGGGACCCACTGCAAGCCTCAGATGACGGGACCCATCCGCCCACCAGATGGTCGGGGTCCACTTATCCAGCCATGCCAATCCAAGGATAATAGGTTCGGACATGGAGGGGACTACTATGAACCTTAAGACCTCCCAATGGGCCCCTACTTCCATTCTAACTGGTTCCGTTACTAACGTGGTTGGAGCCCCCCCTAACAATGAGCCATCCACTTGCTCAAAACGAATTGGGGATTTTAGTCGGGTCACCCTAATCCGCATTTGTTGCACTACCCTCTTGCTAATGAGACACCTGGTGCACCCGGTGTCAATCAGTGCCTGAAAGGGCATTGTCTCCCCGGTAACTGGGCTTGTCAGTGTTACTGGAATGTTAAAGGGAACTATGGGCTCACTTACCATTGGATCTTCCACCGGAACCTCCTCCTCGTATTCCTGCCCCGTTGGGGACGCATCACCGGGATTTCTCTGGACTGACCCCTGTCCCGCCTGGTAGGCAACCCGTGACTTCTCCATCGTTTTCGTCGGTGTAGCACCTGGCCTACCAATTGCTGTTGGCGTGCCTGTTGGCTCGTTCACGCCACACTCCGCGGCTCGGTGACCCGGCCGGTTGCAGCGGAAACATCTGAAGACGGATCTCGGACGTACAGGGCCCGGTATGCTCTGACTGGTGCTGCCCCCGGGCTGGTCCTGGTTTCGTCGAAGCTGTGGTCTATCCTCACGTACCCCGGGACGATCCCGTAACCCAATATCCAACTCCACAGCAGCTTTGAACCAATCAGCCAAGTGTCCCACGGTTCCCCTAACCACACATGCTCGACGTATGTCAGCATCCAGGCCGGTACGGAAGTGATGGATCAGCAGACGGTCTGGCCACGACCTCAGTCTCCCCGCCACCTTCTGGAACTTGCGGATATATTCTTGCACCGGCCTGCCTCTTTGTCTTAAGCCCACTAACTGGGCCTCCGCCCGTTGTAAGCGGGTTGGATCCTCGAATCTCATTTTTAATGCGTCGAGGAAAAGGCCTACATCAGCTAGCTCCCTAGCTTGATCGGTGTATAAATCAGCGGCCCAAGCAGCAGCCTCTCCCTGCAAACTCGCTGTCACCGCAACCACCATCGCCCAATTGGACGAGTAGAGGGTAGTATAGCGGTCCAGATGATTTAGCACATGGCTAAGGAATACCGCCAGGCGATCCAGATCACCATCAAATGTGAGTGTAATCGGGGGAGGATTCCATATCATATTTTGAGGCCACGGGGCCGGCACCTGACCTCCGTATGGGACGGCTTCCGGATGCGGTATGAGGCGGGGACCTGCTCCCGTGGGTCCCGCCTCTTGCCTATCAGATCCTGCCGGCTGACCTGCCACCGCTCGCGCGCCGAGCCCGTATTGGTGTTGCTCTGCTTCAACTTGCTGCGCTCCAGGGTCCTGGATGGTAAAGTGGTCACCTGGATGTAATTTAAGACCCGGACTTGATAGGCGGAAATGGGAGGCATAGGATGGGCTACTCTTAGCGGGGCTGCGGATCGTGGCGGGATACACTCGTTCGCCAAACTGCTCTCTGAGGACCTCCAATGTATACTGCCCCGGAGCGGTCAAACAACTCCAATCTTCCTCGTGATCCCCAGTCACCCGACGTTCTCTCCACCCGGTGAAGCTTGGCGCCAACCTTCGTCCCCTGCCATCCTCCGGAATCCCCAACCCCGGGCTAAGCCACCACTCGCCTTCGGCAACTACCGAGCGTTGCTGCCTGATTGCCGGCTCTGCCACTACAGGGACGCGAACCTTCTCCTTAGGCCGAACCACCAGCGGTTCATCCCCTGCGTTGCCGGCGTCCCGGCTTTCCAGCTGCTCGTTGGGCTCCACGGACTCCTCCGCCGCTACCGGGTCCTCCCCCTGTGTTCCCTCTGCCATGTCGCCCCGTTAAGGCTGGCTTCGGGTGGATGTGAGGGCTAACTTATTGTAAGAATGTCCTGGCTGTGTTTCGGAAAATCAAAACAACCAGGAACGCTGCAGTATCCAAACAAAGTTTATTACAGTTTGCAGGAAGTAAAGTTAACCCTGGGAAGAGCCCCCTCCCAGCGTCCTAAATACAGCGCGTGCCACGCCCCCAGCGCACACCCTAATCACCCCGTATAACCAAACCCCACCCATGACACACCCAGCCACCCACCCCGTGCCAAAATTCCACCCACCGCCCGTCTCTCCACGGCCCGTCAATTCGCACTGTGCGTTCCGGAACTTGTCAGACCCAAACCAGTCTCCCTGCCCCCCGAAACTCCAAAATCTGTCAGACCCAGCATCTCATGTAAACACGTGTCCCATTGCATCGCCGAATTGCATGGCTTTCCTCGTGAGGTGGTCACATGTCCATCAGCTCCTTACTACAGCTGGCGCCAGCAGGAAACAGGACCAGCGCCGACGGTGCAGCTCGCCACGGCAGCGAGGCCGACCAGATCGTCCGTCGTCTCACTGACGCCCAAAACAGGGATATAGACAGGTAAGTATCACGCTGGGTCTGACACTTTCCTTGTTACATCCCACCTTCATCGCCAATGTTAAGTCCTGGGAGTGATGGCGAACGAAGAATACACATTTTTCTGGAACAGCTCTTTATTGTGCTTATTTCAAACTCCAACAACAAGCAAAGGCACGCAGGCCTCCTTTTATACATCCCCATTTCCCAGACAAGATGGCAACATTACTAAGCCTTTTCGCGTCTTGCGCATGCGCGCTTGGTTGGTGCCACTCAGTCTGGTCCCGGGCAGCTTTTGCAATTGCCCGGGAACCTTGCAATGTCCCGAGCCTGCATTTGCAGGCTCAGGACACAATACTCTTTATTTCCTCTTCGCTTTCTGCCATTAGAGTGGTATCATCTGCATATCTTAGGTTGTTGATATTTCTCCCGGCAATCTTAATTCCAATTTTTGATTCATCTAGCCCTGCCTTTCTCATGATGTGCTCTGCATATAAGTTAAATAGGCAGGGTGACAGAATACAGCCTTGCCAGACTCCTTGCCCAATTTTGAACCAATCTATGGTTCCGTGTCCAGTTCTCACTGTTGCTTCTTGACCCACATATAGGTTTCTCAGGAGACAAATAAGATGGTCTGGTACTCCCATCACTTTAAGAACTTGCCACAATTTGTTGTGATTCACACAATCAAAGGCTATCATTCTGAGGGTGATATCAAGTGGATTTTTTCTTGGTTTTTTTAATCCAAAGACTCATGAATGAGGGAAATAAATGCATATTTATAACTGTCTGTGCTCACTTTTTGAAACCAATATTTCCCTCACTTACTGATCCAGCAGTTTACCTGATTAGTCTACATTCCCCTCAACTTTTATAACTTTCAACTTTGGCACTTTTATCGCACCCCATAGTACTTCTTCACCAAATGCCATTGCTTTAACTAGTTCACACAGAATCCATTTTTCATGGGAGCATAATATCTTTTTTATTCTTTTTCAAAATGGTATTTTCCACATACTGCACAGTCTGAAATATTCCGGAACAAGGCGTCTTACTTTTAGGTTTCCTTTATGCAAGTTATTTATATGTTCACACAATACAAAGCATAAGGGAAGTGTATGTACAAGGTGTATGTATATCTGTCCATCTCACATGCACACATACATCATCATCACATAAGATTCCTGAGCAATCTCTGTCTTTAGTCTTGAGAAGACTGCACTTCCCTATTCAAGACTAATAAGCAGACTGGAGGGTCAGTTTGGACTCATAGTTCCTGCTTGAAGAGTCAGTAGCAGCTGTGGCCAAGAGGCCTTTTACAAGCCCTTTAAAACAATTACTCATCCCTTGCCACCTTAGCAGTGAACTGTTGCAATGCACTGTGCACGACACTATCCTTAAAGACCATCAAAAGCTATAGCTAGTCCAAAAATGGTGCAGGAAGTAATGGGCATGCCACAATATGGTCATCTGATGACACTGCAGTGTGAGCTATACTGATTACTTGTGAGTTTTTAGATGTAATTCAGGGTGTACCTATAAAACTCTACATGGCATAGGACCTGGCTATCTAAGGGTCAGTCTTTCTCTGATAAACAATTGCATCCATTTATCTTATTTTAATTACTAGGCCCAGTCACCTTATTGGTGAGATGTGCAGCATATAAATGCAATAAATATTTTTTTTAAAAAAATGCTTAGCATTGGACTGAAAACTAAATTCCATTAGAAACTAAGAAATAATCTGTTCATAAAATATAAAACTAACTTTAATAGTATTCTGTCTGCTGTGCAATGGCTTGATTTCACACTCAGATATTTATATGTACAATGAGTCAATTATTCTATTCTGGAAAGTAATGTTTTGTCTTTATATTTGTACTTGCTTTTCAGTTTGTGGTAATATTGTCAAAGTTATAAATATATATATATATACACCTGCAAATGAAAGAAAGCAAAAATACTTCTGAGTGTTCCCTTATAGGATTGTGCAGCTTGTCTTTTAAAACATTCATACTATCTTTTTCTTTCTGCTTCTGATTGCACAGTAAGAAGGACATTGAAGAATGGATTGTCTCCAGAAGAAGCCAAAGCTTTGGGTCTGATAAGCACTTCAGAGATGCAAGTGTGATGACAGCAATTACGTCTGCTAAAAGAAAAAAAAATCTTTCTTTTTTTCATGCATGCATGCCATCAATAGTCTTCAAATTCAACATCCCCTGCCAGTTTCAGCTACTATTTGTTTTATCCCATTGCTGCATGATACTAAATCAAATAATAAATTGAAATTAGTAAACTAATCTTGTAAAAGTATCTAACTGACTGCTACAAAAATAAATTACAGGAGCAGAAGATCAATTGAACATTGTGTCACATTCATTTTGTCATGCTGTATTGAAGAGAGTTGCCGTTGGGCTATCTTGTATTGTGCGAAAGATGTTAATGCTAATTTTCCTTGCAGCACATTGTAGTAATTGTAAAGTACTATGTTTTATCAATTCTTTAAACAATTTTTCTTAAAGTTATTTCTATCTTACAAAGGCAGAACAATGTACTTCATTATTTTTTATCTTTTCACCAAGAATGTAAAATGTATGTCAATTTGTGCACGTACACATGTACAGTACATATGGAATCCAGATGCCCATAATGTGTTTTTTCATAAAAACTCACTGATTTGGAATTCTGTTAGAATAGCATATAAATATCTCATGTCAGTCAAGCATAAATATGAAAGACAAGTTAAATTAATATCAGAATAGTTTTAAACAAAATACTGCTTCCTAATTTCATCCAGTATCGTTTGTATCGTTTCCTGAGATTTCTTCTGGTCTGTAAAAAGAAATTAAATGAATATGTTGACAATAATTTGGACAAAGAATGACTGTTTGGGATGCTAGTAAACCAATCATAAGGGGTTACTTTATACAATATAACCATTTTGAAAGAAAATACTGTTTCCTGTAAAGGATTAGATAGGAAAATAGTGCTGACATTGGGGCCCATTAAGCTGCTGTTTTCATTCAATTTTAAAACATTTAACTATCAGTTACATTAGATTTTGTTAACATTTGCCTTTCTCTCATAAACCTTAAAGAAACAATAAGGAAAACAATTGTTTTAAATATCAAATTTGCTCCCCATCACCTATTCAATAGCATTCTTCTTAGCACAACTCTTGTGCTATTATTCTGGATGTATTCAACAATAATCTTTATATAGAAAGTATTGAATATACAATATTTAAAAAAACACAGATCCTAATCCTTTCTTAGGCATGAAACCTCTGAGACCTAATCATATCAAGTGCTGAAACAAGATAGTTAAGAAAATGAAACATTTGTTAAATCATGCACTGAATGCAATGTAAACTAGTAAGCACAATGCAAAACAAGTGGATCCCACAATAAGCAGTACAAGCAGAAAGAACAATAATCTGTATTTCTTTATTTCTAATGTCTATTACTTGACTGATTTTGTTCTACAATTTATTTGGACCTATAGGGATGTTATATGGATCTATAAAAGCTTCCATTGGGCTGCAGAATTACATTTTTTTCTTCCTGATGCCCTACTTTTTAATGATTCTACAGTGACCTGTAAGTATTCTGTTAATAAACCTCATTGCTGTGTTTTACTAGAAAGAAGGAATTATTAATACAATGAATAATATTGATCTTTTTTCTTGTTTAACTTTTTATGTGTTTCAAAAGGACTAAACTAAATGTTGGTATTGGTTTTCTAAAATGTAGCCATCAGAAACATTTTTGTTGCTCATATCAGGGTTTTGCAGTGATTCAAATAATTCAGGAAAGGTACTTCAGAGCATGAAGCAAATCTAGTAACTGTTTTAAAGAGCTGCAGAGAAGTCTAAACTTCTGTGTTTCCACATATTCCAGAAATGTTTTTGGAATTAAATCCAAAGTATTGGATAATTCAAATAGCAATAAATATTTCTAAATTTTCAGAATAAGAGGGGAAACGTATAAAAGATTTTTTAAAATTAATAAAAACCTATCAGTGGGATCATATGACCTAACAGTGCAACAGTAAAGCTTTCATGAATTTTAGTACCCTCCCAATGACAGAAAAAAGTATTTGTGTCTCTTCATCCCTTTACTGATGAGATTTTTTCTCTGCTTTCATCCTAATGCCAAATCTTTCTGTCCCATCTTCTTTTCAAATTTTCTCATACTTGAATGTTTGTACTTTGGAAAGAACCAGCTTGACTTGGAAGGAGGAGCAGTCGCTTTCTCTCCAAAACTGGAGCCATATTTCTCACTTTTGCAGAAAAATATCCAATGAATCTTATTTCTTAATGGATGTTGGTTACCAAAAACACTATTGTGTTTGTCTATAACTTCTCCAAATAAGCATATAGAGTACATTTTTGAAAACTGTTAATCACAATATTAAGAATATTTTTAGGAGTAAACAAATTCCCATCGTAAATTGTTGCATTGATCTATCTTACCATTTTATTGTTTATATTACAATACATTTTGTGAATCATTTTTCAATCTTATTCCAAATGCATCTTGTAAAAATTCATATCTGTAACAAACACGCTTATTGAAATCATGATTATGATTGTGTTTTGATATACAAATGATATGATTTGTTTCCTAAAGCAATTTAAGTTTTTAAATAAGTTTTATAATTGTATGACACTAATTCAAACAGCTGTTTCAGTTAATACAGCTCCTAAAAAACAGAAAACACTAGATGACATTGAAGAATTACAGAGAATCTTAGTATTTCTTTGTTGCTATTTCAGCCTCGTGTGCATTTTCATAACTCAGATATGGTAGCTTTTTCTAGTGAAGTACTGTACATAAGCTTTGTCTTTGAGAATCTCACCAGCCAACTTATCTGTAGCCTGCTTTTGAAATTTGCCATGCACAAAATGGGGAATTTTGAGAAAACCAAAGCTGCCTCTATACTCTAGGAGCATATAGAATTAGCTTCACTGGATTCTGGTCATAATCTCCCATATAATTTGCCTATTGGATTATTCCTTTCCTTGTTATAACTGACAAAATTTTGAAAGTATTCCTAATGACAAATGATCACAATTTTTCTGTTACCTCCTCCTCCCCTAAAGGAACCAACGGAAATATCTGTATAAGTAAATGTTTTCCAAGATGCAGTGAGCTGTTGTTAGAGGAATAAAGATCAAATGACCCCATTTTAAAGACTGCAGGTGGGGGGGGAAAGAAAAGAAAAAGGAAGATTTATGGAAATTAAGAATGGAAATTCTGTTTCCAGGTAGCTGAGGACTGACTTTTTAAATTTGTAAAAAATAAAAGTAACATACCGGTAGTCCTTGATTTACGAATGTAATGGAGCCTGCCCATATCATTCATAACTTGAAAATTTATGGGAGGGAATCTTGTACCTCAAACAAGATCACTCCCTGCTTTTGCTAATGCATTTGCTAATCAAATGCATGGGCGAATGTGTGGTTCTTTATGGGCACATCTCAGAGTGGGGAAGGCCATGGAGGGCCTAGTGATGTAACAGGCCCCAAAGGCCTCCCTGACCCACTAAGACACCTTTCCCCTCCCTTCCTGCCACACTGACTCACTTACCATGAAAAGATCCATCTCCTTTCTGCCGTGGTTCCTGCTTTTGAGAGAGAGAAGAGTCGATGAAAACTCCGGTGTACCATAATATCTTTTGCAGAACTCTTGCGGTGCTTGCAGTGCCTGTCTCCTGCTCACCCCCCCCCCCCGACTCCTGAGCCACGCAGCTGCCACTCCAGGCCTCTGTTAGGGCGGCGGAGTCCTGGAAAAAAATATCCAACGCTCGGATTGGGCCTCTGGAGGCTCAAAGAAGCATTCTCCGGCTGCTGTTCCAGGCAACAGTGGCCTGGAAAAGGCCTCTGACATCCAGATTGGGCATCTGGAGGCCCACAGAAGCATCTCCTGGCCTCCTTTCTGGGTGGCAGCAGCCTGGAAAAGGCCTTCAATGCCCGGATCAGGCCTCTGGAGGCCCACAGAAGCATCCCCCAGCCTCCTTTCTGGGCAGCAGTGGCCTGGAAAAGGCCTCTGATGCCTGGATCGGGTCTCTAGAAGCCCATGAAAGCATCCCCTGGCCTCTTTCCTGGGTGGCAGCAGCCTGGAAAAGGTCTCTGATGCTTGGATTGGGCCTCCAGAGGTGTGGGAAAGTCTCCCCCTGCCTCTGTTCTGGGCAGCAGCAGCCTGGAGGCCTTTGCCAAGGAAAACTGAGCCCCAGAGTGACTTGTGCTTCTTTTGAGGGCTCCATTCTCTTCAGCAAAGATCTTGAGGAATGGCTTTGCCGCTGTAAATGGAGGCCTGGAGGCATGCATGCATCCCTCCCAGCCTCCATTATCAGCGGGAAAGGCTTTTTGCAAAGAGGAAAGGCTTCAAAGTTTCAGCCCTTACCTGCTTTTGCAAAACCTTTTGCCACAGTTTTCCACCAGGCCTTTGTTTGCAGAGAACATCCTAAAGTACCATGAGATCACGCGAGATTAGTAGCGTGAGATCTCATGCCACTGATGTTGCATGATCTTGCAGTACTTTAGGTCTCCATTCTCTGTGAACGAACTGAAGACCTGGAGCAGCCAAGAAAACAAAGAATCTCTTGATCTTCACAAGGTATCCACAGGCCTAGTGCCTAGGGAGACCCGAGGGGGTGGGAGGGAATAGCCAGAGTGAATGTTGCACTGCCACTGCAGTCATTCGTAAGGGTGAATGACTGCCATGGTGTGGCAACATTTGTAATTTTGGAACTTTTTGATAAACACTAGGGGCGCTTATCACGTAACTTCAAATGTTCGCTATGAGAACATTCATAACTCGGGGATTACCAGTATTAATTTTCCTACTTCAAAATGACAATCTTTCTTTTAGAATTGTTGCCTTTTACTATACTGTGTCTATAGGATTGTGAAAGGAAAATTAGTGAGATGTGGCATGAGGTACACAAATGTCTGTTAACTGCTCTTCCTAAAATGCTTAAGGAAGTGACATCATATTACCCTCTTCCAAGGTATTTTTGGAAGGACAGCCTTTGAAGCTGCAGATGCTGGTATTTGAGTGAAAAATACAAGGCATTTTTTAAAAAAAACAAAAAAGATGGAAAACTTCAGCCATTTCATAAGATGAAATAAACAACAGCACTCTCATTTCACTTGAAAAAAATTAGCCCAATATTGCAACAGGAGAGTGTTCTGAGGAAAAGGGTGACATTTTTTTTAGTTTATCTTTAATGTATTCAGTAAACTCCAATGCTCCTCTTTTGTTTATTTTAGAATGTTTCTCTCAAGCCACTGTGCATCTACATGTCCAGCACTATTTTTTTGATGAGGAGACAGATTAGAATTTGTTAACTGTTACTTTAAAAAGGGGGGTGGAATATATCTAGACTTTTAATGTAAATTATGTCCAAATACTCTCTATTTTTTCTTTGTCTATGTTGAAGGATAATTGTCAGTGTTACAATATAAATACTAGCTGTGCACTGAAAAACCCAAGGAAATTCCATATTATAAAATGCTAAGACCGTGATAAAGCATACCTTTTCTATTTGTTGTTGCTTTGTAGATTTTTAAGTAACCAAATTCCTTTAATTAATCATTTTCAAACACACACAATTCACCATACACAAAAGAAAATTTGCACAAATAATTTACATATATGTAAAGTGTGTGTGTGTGTGTGTGTGTAAAATTACAGCTTTATCCCAAGTTGACCTGACTTTCAATATTGACCAAGGTTATCCAAAGATTTAAACATAAAAGATTCTAGATGTTTATATAATGAGGGAATAGTTTTCTCCATTGAACTCAGGCTCATTTTCTTGCAGTCCTGAAGCCTGAGCTCAAAAGTTCAGTCAACCTATTTCCAGGAACTTGTGTATACAGTTAAAGTTTTAATGAGCTTTTCGGAATTCAAATAAAAGCAGTGGTGGGATGTTCAGCCAGTTTGCATCAGTTCAGCAGAACCGGTAGCTAATTTTTTGTTGCCCAGGCCCAGAAAGGACTTCCTGAAGCAGCATCCACACAGAGAACCAGTTGTTCACATATTTGCAGAGTGAGAAAACCATCCTTGGCCAATTGATGGCCAAGATTTAAATACCACTTTAAGGATGTAATTGAAACTGTCATTATTGTTATTGAAAAAGGATACGAGAAATCCAAATGAGTCAATCCTTACATCAACTGTCACTGAGTTAGGTGAGGTATATTTTTAGTTAAAGAGAAAAATTTTAGCTTTATTAATAATTTGTATTAGTAACTATAGGAGTGGCATGGTGGCCTAGTGATGAAGACTCTTGCTCCCACTTGGAAGGTTGAAAATTCAATCCTAGGGTGCAAATAAAAAAAATATCTGCTGTGAAATCCAGGTGGCCTCAAGAAAGGCATCCAGCCAGTAAAGGCTCAACTCCATCCAGTCACCCCAACTCTATCCTTAATTAAGGGATTATGGAGTCATAAAAAGGGAGGTTTTTTATACTAGTCAATATAGGGAAAATAGAAATTTATGAAACGTTCATTTTGAAAACTAAGAATCTGAGTTAATCTATTTCATTTATGTGTATGCTTATATATCAGTGAAGTTAAATTTTGTTATTATGCCTAGATCTCATTTTTCAGAGAGTTCAGAATTGAGATTCCTTATTTATATAAGAAAATTCTGACTTACCCAGTTTATGAAGAGAAACAATGAATCTGTACATGCTAGAAAAATTATTTCCACAGTATATTTATTATATTTTGGATGTGGATCCCTTTAAATGGTTTTAAATTGATACGACATGAAATTATGTTTAATCAGCTAGCAAATTATTACACTAATTTATACAAATGTTGTATAAAATAATAAATGCAACTTTCATACATAAAATAAAAAGTTTTTAATTATTTTTGAAATGCTTTGTTGTATCACAACAATCCACCATTAACTTTAATAGCAGGGAAATATGTGACTGTTCTATAAAACAAAACATTGTAATATTGGATTATATTTCTCTATGTAAGGATTGTATTTTGATTTTTCACATCTTATTTGTGAGCTGTGTATTTTTTTAAAAAAGTTTGTAAAGTAGAAAATGATAATTAGTATAAAATGTATACATTAATAATCTTTTTTCTCTTTGTACAGTATTGTGCAAAATAAGAATTTTATCCAGCAGTATTATTCTATGAATTTAAAGACCCAAACATGCACGCTCAAAAGTATATTTAAAAAACAACAAAAATGCACGATATCACAAATCCATGTACATGTCTCTAGATAGGAATGAGGTATTTTTATTTTGATTATATGCTCAATCTTATTAACTGATTAATGCATTTAACTTGGAAGTTAGTATATCCCGAGTTGTATTTAATACTGTTCTACTAAATAAATAAGCCTCACTCTGCCGAATGAGGTTTTCAGTTAAGAAGAATAATAGAGGATATGAAGAACTGTTTTTTTTCTGAATTTGTTTCATGCAAGAAGAGCACATTTAAAATATGTAGCTATCTTTGTTCAGTTTGAGCACTATGAGTTTATTGCAAGTTTAACACTTGACATTGATCTCTGATCTCAAACATCTTATAACTTTTTAGATTTTTTTTTCTTCCTGGGCTATTCAGCCTTGGAATATTGATTATTGGCCACAGGCCATTATATCTAATGTAATTGACAATTAACATATATTATGTACATGAAGTAGTTTTCTAGTGCAGTTTTTTCCACTTTTTGGTCAGAAAGAAACATATTTGTTTTGATTTCAATCCTAAATACACTAAAAATGACTGGATAGCTGACTTTTGTTTTTAAAATTCATTTCAATGTAACAAAAAAACAGTTGGTTTCGTTGGCTGTAACATCACTGCTTGAAAGAAATCATTACCAACATAGAATGGCTGGGAATGTTAATAGAAAGTCAGGGCAGAAATAATACCATTGCACATAGAGAACAAAATGCAATAAGTTGTTGGCAATAGGGAGAATGGAAATAGAGAGTTGGGAATAAACAAATCACTGAAAGGAAATTAAAATTCACTAGATAGTCCTGGAGAATCAATTTATCACTTAGAGCAATGAGTAAAATTTGTTAGCTGGCCCAAATCTTGAAATGTTCTTTATATCTAATCTTATGAAGTTATGTTGCTAAGATACCTTGAATTCTAAATATTGAAAAGCATGGATAAATATTAACTGTGAGAAATACCAGAGCATTAAAGTTATACGACAAATACACAGATTTTGTTGTCATATCTTGTTTCTTTGTAACATGTCATTTTTATCATAATGCAAAGCATTCTGCTTTAGAAAATATGCATAAATCCAAGTGAATGATACAACACATTCATAGACACATCCATATTTACACACCTACGTGAGTTCCTTTTCAAACATAAATAATTTTGCAACTCTTAATGAAAGATAGGAATGACAGCACTGAAAATCATTTGTAAGTATAGTTACTAAATTGGAATGAGTTTAATTAATACATTCTATGAGGGAAATTATTTTTCAGAGGATATGATTGGCTATGATTGCTCAGAGTCCTCTTTGAAATATTTGAAATCTAATAATTTTCCATTAGTAAATCTTCAGACTCAGTTCATGTGACATTAGCATCTCTTCTATGTAATTTTCATTGAAATAATATTGAACTATTTTCCCATATCCCTCTTCAACCTTACATTTTTATACTTCTCAAACTAACCTATCATCTTGGAATTTCTTGTTGGTCTCCCATCTCAAGTACTGACTAGTCCCATCTTGCTTAGCTTTTCGGAATCAAGTTTAAGTAAGAACTAATGCATTCCCCTTGACCATTTGATGACATTTTAGTAGAAGCTGGCTTCTACTTATTATCATAAAACTCCTAGGTTTATATGGTGCAATAACACTCCTTAAAGCATCTGCTGGGTTCTTTCTGAAAGATTTGAACAAATGGAATGTATCTTTCATTTCCAAAAGAAATTTGTTTCTCTTCCATATAATTTTATTCATATAGCAGGCATACCTGTTGAAAACTAGAATACACTGTTCTAATTAATTGGAGTAATTAAGATGAATTCAGCTATTGGATAGCTTTCTGATTTGCTGGCTGGCCACATGACATCAGAGACAGACTGTTTTGCTGGACTGGAGAAAGTCTTTTCAAAGAAGCTAGCTTTCCCTTGGCTTTCACATCAAAAATAAGGAACATTAGCAGCAATAATTACATATAAAATCCAAATTACCTGTCTGTAACCAATCTCTGTGCAGTAGATCCTGAAACTTTTTCATCTTATTCTAGAACTTACTATAGTATTTTAGCTATAGTGACGATGATTTAATTAGTATTGTATGTTTTATTCTCAACTTGTTTTCTTATATCCCTTTTTCCCAATAAGTTACTTTTTATATTTATAATTTTGAATCCATTGGCTTAATACAGGAACTTTATATTAAAACTTCCCTATGGGTGGCATGGGTGCACAATTATGATTCAGGATTGAACAATATATTATATAGTATGTTTAAATGTGTGTTTTGTATGCGTGCACTTTGAGAGCAAGCAACTAAATTTCATTTTTATTGTGTGCCCACAATAAAAAATAACAATAAAGGTTATCTATCTATCTACCTATCTATCTATCTATCTATCTATCTATCTATCTATCTATCTATCTATCTATCTATCTATCTATCTATCTATATCTTATGTATCTATCTACAAGGTTTTCTAAAATGTGTATTGCTGGTTGAGACAAAACTATTCAAAACATCTTTCTCAAATAAAAGCATCAATATTTGAATTTGTGGCTATTCTATGATGCTTAGTTTCATTAAAAAATGAAGAGGTCTTTTATGCCTGTCTTAACATTCATGTTTTTTTTTCTTGATTCTTCTCCAATCATCTCATAAGATAGGAGCACGCATGCAACTATCATGGATATCCATGGGCCCTCCTTTTCTTTGTGTTCCTCCTCTGGAATTTTAATTTTTACCCTCTTAAGAACATATCTGAAATAATTTTGTTTTGGTTACTTTTTCTTGTTGCTTAAATCCTATGCTGATATACATATTCTTGCAATTCAGTTACAGGTTTTGTTCTCTTTTGTTTTGCAAATATAAAGAAGAAATCAGAAGAAGAAAAAACTGTGAAAGATTCTTCCATATCTTGTATGCCTTTTGTGTTCTGTATTCTGGAATACAGTTCATAAAATAAAAAATAACTGGGCAGAGTTTCTATTTTAAAGTAGAAGATTCTGGAATACAAGTAAATAAAAATAAAATTTGTGCTTTTGTCGCTCCATACTTCTGGCATACAAATATAATAGGGAAAACATTTATGCACAGACTTTCCACATGCATTTCTTACATTCCAGATCCCAGAATTTAAGTTATAAAAAGCACTGACTGAAAAGGCAGGCCAAATGTCTACATGGATGTTCAGACATTACTGCCAGTCATGAAAGGTAACAGGGGAGACAAAAATTGAGATGGGCAAGCAGGTGGGTTGCAGATAAAGACCTCATCATCAATACCGCCCAATAACTAATCTATATATCATGGAGTTTTTTTCTCAACAGTAAACTTTAAAACCATGGTTAAATGTATGAATTTTATACTATAACTCCCAAAATTCATGAGTTTATAAAATGTAGTTATATTTATTCCCTAGTCTTTGCAACTCAGTACATTCAATAGATTTCATATACATTATTAAAAACAAATAACAATACTATAACTCTTCTTTAAGATCCGTGTGTGTGTTTGTGTGTGTGTGTGTGTGTGTATTCTTATACATATCTTTCTCAGAAATAAATATTTTTATACAGTTTTCTAAGCCAAAAAATACTTTGAACTAGATATTACTTAATTCTATGCCCTTTGGAAGATGCATCAAATGTGGTTTAAATCATGATTTGCATAGATTTGTCTTGCTTTTGACTAGTAACTTCATGGTTCATGTTTGCAGGTTTAACCCAGACCTACAAGTTGCAAACTTCCAATAAATCTTCACTATATTGAACATTGGTAATATTTTAGAAAAAAGCATTAAGCTATCAGATGGATTGTTTTCCAGCATAAACAGTAGCTTGATTTTCATGTTTTAAAAGAGACATTCCACTAGATCTAATAGGATATACACCAAACTTCTAGCTGAATGCTTAGCATTCCAATTTCAGTGGTGCAAAGAGAAGAAAGGCTTCCCTGCCAGTGGTGTTAGTTTTTTAACATATTACTTACGTTGGCTAGACACTTCATCATTTCTCTTCTTTCATTAGCAGTTCTAAATTCCAGATGTGTCCTGACAAAGCATTTTTTATTTTAAAATGGATACAGAAAAGAAAATGCTTGTAGAATCAAGTCAAATCAGAGAGTGACAAAGATTATAGATGAATGTACTAAACAGTTGATGATCCCTTCATGACAGCATGTTTTGAGAAAGTCAAAAATATAAACCTTTTCTGTTTTTATAATTTTTTGTTATCAGTATCTTCACTTTTCTTCAGTATTTAAGATTAACTATTCTTTGAAGAACAGGTTATTGCCTAGCTGTAGATACATTTTTAAGATCAACAATTTTAGGATATTATATGTGGATTTCCTGTTAAGCAAAATAATGCATTTTTAGCACAACCAAACTTATGAATTCTGAAAGTTAGTCAACACCGCATTAAAAAAGGATCTCTCATATAACCAGTTAACCCCTCAAAAACCAACTAACATAGGATTATAGTTAGAAAAGGCCTTTTGGCTTTTCAAATTCAACCTCTTGCTCATTGTTTACCACCAGTTTAAGTAACTGGTTCCAAGACAAATTACTACTGTAGTTAGTCAAGCTATTTTAAAATTTTATTTGGCATCTGCTTTCATATAAATTACATCCATTATTCCATGTTCTGCACTTCGGAATGACAGAACAAATTGTAACCTTTTGCTTTATAACAGGGGTGTCAAACTGCCGGCCCGTGGGCCGATTGCATCATGCGGAGGCCACGCCCACCCCAGCTCCGGCAATGCAAAAAAAAGTCACTATATGTTGCAACACGTCACATGACGTGGCAAGTTTGATACTTTCAGTCACTGAAGTGTGACATAACATTCCTCTCCCCTCAGTTTTTTTTTATTATGGCTAAATACAATTGCTCATTAAACAAACAAGATCAGAGGAAAAAGTATGAGGAGAGACTGTTGACTGTTTGCAACTTCTACAGACTGACAGACAAATACAGGTGATACATATGAAGCAGAGAGAGAAAGTCAAGGGAAGCCAAATTGAAGACACTTTTTGATATTTTTTTTCCATTGCTCCCTTCCCCCTCCTATCATTCCTGTTCTTCTTTCAAACTAGGCTAATCACCCAGAAAAGCAGCCTCTGAGAGTTCAGAAGCAGAGCAAGGAGATTACCAGACTGATAAATGACATCTCCCAGTGTTTTTATTTAGATATTAAATAACATATAAGAAAAGACTGAGATCAATTGGACTCCACATTAGAACATAATATCCTAGGACTGGAAAGGACAGTGGAGATCTTCTAATCCAGGGGTGTCAAACTGGCGGCCCATGGACTGGATGCGTCATGCAGAAGCCACAGCCACCCCATTGCCAGCAATGGAAAAACTCCCAGTACGTTGCGCGACATCACATGATGTCGCAAGTTTGACATGTCTAGTCCAATGCCTCTGCTCAAGGCAGGAGTCTCATGCCATCCCAGTCAAATGGTTGTCCAGTCTATTTTTGAAAATCTCTATTGATGAAGCACCCAGAAGGAGGCAAGGTATTCCATTGATTAATTGCTCAGCAAATTTCTTCTTACTTCTAGGTTGTAACTCCTTTGACAAGGTTTCACCTGTTACTTCTTATTCTGCCCTCTGGTGCTTTATAGAACAGATATGTCAAACACAAGGCCCAGGGGCTAGATGCAGCCCGCGAAGTGGTTTCATGTGGCCCGCAAAGCCATCCTGGAAATAGTGAGGGAATGGCCCCCGCTGCCTTGGCCCTGGCCCAGGCCAGCTGAGAGGGAGCCAATGTACAATTTTGTGGTGGCCATCTATGTTGAAACGCATTCAGTCTTAGCTCCACAAGGCCATCTGGAAACAGATGGGTGCATGCTGGGGAGGTGTCATCCTTTGTGAGGAATGAAGAAAGGTACCATCACCTGGAAGTGGCCAGGAAATGGCCCTGGCCTACTTCACATATCTGGCTTGATGGGGAGGGGTTTCGGCAGGCAGTGGGGCACTCTCCTCACAGCG